TAACCAATTAGAGTTTTAAAACCACACAATACCTCATCCTGAATTAATTTTCTTAGACGAAGTTGTAAATATTAAATTATCTTATTTTTCTTTTTTGAAAAAATAGTTTGTTGAAGCTGTACGATGAAGTGATTTCAATTTCGTTAAAATACAATTTATAGTATCTTAGACTTGTTTTTCAAATTTTAAAACTTTCATATTGAAAGTTCGTTATAAATTCTAATGTCAACTTATCACCTCAATGCAAAAGTTACTTTAAAGTTATTTCCTCTTTAAATTAAATTTAGCATTAAAATATCAAGACATGATGCAATAATAAAATAAAAAAAAACTAAACATCGATGATATGTTTTCTTCCTTAAAACAAAAGCAAAAACAAGACGTATGTTTTTCAACTCTAATGATACGATTGGCTTGCGGTGATTCCTAGTTACAAAAAATTCCAAGGAAAATAAAGATGCACCTTCGCGTGGTTCTTAGTGGAAAATATTAAGTACAAAAAAAATGATGTCAGAAGAATTTTTAGAAAAAAAAAAAGGTTATCGACGTTGACATAACATAAAGCTCTTTAGCTTTTGCACGAATGCAAATAAATGTAAAATTGACTTTTGTCGCATGGTTGCATCATAGATCTTCTAAAAGAAATCTATTTGTCAATTTGTCATCATCCTCCTCTACTTACACATTTGTAACTATGAGGTTCTCATAAAAAAAGAACAAAATGAAAATAGTTAGAGTTGAGGCTTTACATATTAATAATGTTTCTAAATTAGTCATTTTTAAATAATCTATAATTATTCTTTAAGAAATTTTCATAACTCAATCATATTAGTATTTATGAATTTGATTAGTTAAAAAATTCAAATAATTCAATCTAGACTTTGTTGAATGAGTGAAATTTGATCTAATTCAGAATTATCTTTACTTCAAATTTTTATTTTAAATCTTGAATCAACTATCATTTATAGAACCTAATTTTTAAAAGTTTTTTTATATAATAGTTAATCATTTGTTTAAAGTAATTTTAATTTTAGGGTACTATTTTTTTTTCCTTTTCTTTAGTTCTCATCACTTATATAAGACAGATTCTTCCTACTCTTCCTTGTACTACACAATAATATTTAATAAAGTTTTTGAGTTCTGTTTATCTTTTTCTTCTATCTTTTATAATGTAGAAAACTTTCTTATACTAACACCTCTTTTATAACTCGTTTCTTAGAATTTTTTCGCTTTGTCTTTCAAAAAGATAGAGACATATCACCATCAAGATAATATCAGAGCAAGTTCATAGCATGTTCTATTTTCGTTGTCTTCTATACTTTTTTCTTTTACTTTTTTAAGATGACTTCTACTCGATGGAATATCGAATGTGAAACAAACAACACATGACCACTGATTTGTTTCTCATTCCCAACAATCTTTATTATCTTCACCCTAGAGAGAGCCCATGATTGATCCTTGTGTCACCCTCCTTGAATGAGACAAATTACACTTATTGAAGTCGGAGTATGAAGAGAGCTCTCCTATCTAAGAACAAATTGAAGTTTGTTGATGGTAGCATCAAGATTTCTCTTCCCAACAATCCCGTTTATGACGCATGGGAGAGATGCAATATAATGATCCTTTCATGGATCATTAGGACCTTGTCGCAGATATATTGCGGAAAACATCATCTACATTGAAGCCGTAAAGGAATTATGGCATGAACTCAAAGAAAGATTTTTCAAAGGAGACTATTTTCGATTTTGGATCTTTTACAAGAAGTGCATTCAACTAGACAAGGAGAAATAAGCATTACTCAATTCTTTACGAATTTGAAAACCGAATGGGAAGAATTTGAATTTCACGAGACCTATTCCCAACTGCACCTGTGGTAAGTCATGTCAATGTGATCTTTTTAAGGTCTTTATGAAACAAAGAGAAGTTAAGTATATTATCTATTTCTTGAAAAGTTTGAATGAAAATTATAATAACGTGAAAACTTAAGTTCTTCTTATGGATCCAGTCCTAGTATAAATAAGGTCTTCTCTTTAATCATGCAACAAGAAAGACAAAATAATACTCCTAAAATTTTGAATGTTGAAAGAAAAATTTTAGTCAATATTGTTGAAAAAGGATACAAACAAGAAGAGTAACGTGGATGGAAAGGTCAAAGAAGAGGAAGGTGGATGGAAAGGTCAAGGAAGAGGAGTAGGATCTCGCTCTCGGTTTGGTAAAACCATTAAGTCCGATAATATGCAAGAGTTTAATTGCACCGATTTTTATAATACCTATGGTATACATCATCAAAGGAGTTGCGTGGAAACTCCACAACGAATTTTGTTGTGAAAAGGAAATATCAACATATTCTCATGAGTTATTGTATGAAAAAACGTCCACATACCCGAATCTGAAAGTTTTGGGTCTTTATGCTTTGCTAGGATGATAAAAAACAACCAATCCAAACTCGATCCTAGGAGAAGAAAATGTGTTTTCCTTGGATTCAAAATTAGGGTTAAGGGTTATGTTCTTCTTGACACTAAAAACAAAGAAATTTTTCTCAGTTGGAATATGGTGGTTTATGAAAATATGTTTTCACATAAATCTATCAGTGACTATATTGAACCTGAGAATAATGCTTGCAACAATTTAGAGTTTTTGTTAGAAAATGTTAGTCATGCTACTCTTGATAATTTCACATAACATCATTCACCTATCATCGGAGAAATTGTTAGTGACAATGACATTGCATCCTCACAAGATTAAACACATACAGAAAATGAGACTAAATTCAATGTCCAACAGAAGATTTGGATCAATATTCAGAACAAGAAGAAGATAGTGATCTACGACGCTCAAATAGAGTCAACAGGGCACCTACCTACCTTAAAGACTATTATCATCGGGTGAATAGTTCCATTACTTCTAAGAATCTTAATAATGATGACTTCAAAAGGAAAACTAAATATCCTACTACTTAATAGTTATGTTGAAGCTAGCAAATTACCCGAACGAACAAATGTCATTAATAAAAAACTTAGAGCTCTAGAAGAAAAATCTTCCTAAATGAAAGAAAGTTATACAGAGGCATAAAGCCAAGCTAGTAGAAGGGGTATACTTAATTAGAAGGAATTGATTTTTTGGACACCTTTTCTCCTGTTGCTAAACTTACCACATTGAGACTTTTGTTAGCTCTTGCAGACCACAAAAAAGCTGGCATTTATACTAGCTTGATATAGATAATGCTTTTTTACATGGGAGTCTACATGACTCCACCACCAGGATTGAAGATTCCTAAACCTGGGCAAGTATGCAAACTAACGAAGTCTCTCTATGAATTAAAGCAAACGAGTCGTCAATGGTTTGTTAAACTATCATCCTTTCTTATATCCATTGGTTTCATACAATCCAAATATGATTATTCCTTATTTACTAAAAAAATTGCTAACACTTTCACTACGCTCCTAGTATATGTTGATGATATTATCCTTGCAGATAGATGTTATAGGCGACATAAACAATACTAAAATGCTTACGCACAAAGCCTTCAAAATCAAAGATCTAGGGAACTTAAAGTTTTTCCTTGGATTTGAAGTTGCTAGATCCAACAAGGATTATGCCACTACAAATATGCTCTAGATATTTTAGTAGAGACTCGGAATGATGGACTCCAAACCCCTCTCATGAAAGATGTAAAAAATCTTTATGAAATGGCTAAACCTCACGAAAATGTCGAATCCTACAAACGCCTAATAGGGAAGCTAATATATTTAACTAATTCTAGACCCGACATTACCTATTTTGTACATTTACTAAGTCAATTTGTGCGAGAACGAATCAAACATCATCAACAAGTTGTGCAACACATCCTTCGTTACATAAAGGCTGACCCAATATGCGACCTCTTTTTGCCTCCAATAATGACATACAAATAATGGGGTTGAGTGATTCATATTTACTTGTCTCAATACTAAAAAGAGTGTCATTGGCTATTTCATCTTCCTAGGCAATTCTTTGATTTCTTAGAAATCAAAGAAACAAACTACTATATCCAGATCTTCATCGAAGCAAAATACAAGACTTTAGCTAACACTACTTGCGAGCTCCAATGGTTTGGTTATCTCCTTCCTAACTTAAAGGTTCATCTCACAACTAAAATTGTCATTTACTATTATAACCACTTTGCAAGACATATTGTATATAATCCGAGCGTTTCATGAGAGAACGAAACACATTAACATAATCATATCATATCGTTTATAAAAAACTTGGAAAAATCTCTTCTATTTTTCTTCTTATTCACTTTACTTATTAATTGGTTGACGCTTTTACTAAAATTTTTTATTGAACCTCGTTCAAAATCATTATTTCCAAACTTAGGATATTGAATATTCATCATCTCATTTGAGAGGAACATATTAGAATCCAACCCTTAAAATTTATTTTTTATTTTTGAATAATAGTTAACAATTTATATAAAACGGTTCGTGTATTTTTTAGATTATTTATCTTAGTTCTCAAACCCTATATAATATAGATTCTTCTTTATATCAATACAATATTATTCAATAAAATTTTTAAGTTTTATTTACTTTTTTCTTTCACCTCTTACGCATATAAAAAAATTTCTTACCCTAATCCTTCCTTTATAACTTATTTTTTAGAATTTTTTCGATTTGTCTTTCGAAAAGATGAACACCTGTCACCATCAAGATTTTACTTTATTTTTTTAATACATAAATTTCCTACAGTTTTTTTTTTTTGGATTCACTAATAATCGTGGAGGAAGATAAAAGAAAATTATAAATTGGTAGAGGAAAAATATTTTGGTGTGCAAGAAGCAACTACGAGAGGAAAATTATAAATGTGTCGTGACCAATGACCAGGAAAAAAAAAAAAAAACTAAGAATGAAACGGCGTCGTCTTATCAAAGGGCAGAACCAAGGTTTTTGGTAACGAAGGAGCAACTCAGTTTCCAACTCACTCGCTCTGTGCTGATTTGATTTGAGAGTGGAACTCGAATGTGGGGACTTCTCCGAACACGAACGTGTCTGCGATATTCCGAGGCCCTTCTTCTTCATCAACCATGGAAGAAGACGGTAGGGTTTTGTTCTTCGTCCTCCGTCGACGGCCGTAAATGCTTTCTGGAACTGCCGGAGATCGAGAAGGTTCTGACGGAGATCAAAGCTGACGATGTGAAGGTGATACCGATTCCCAAACACTGTGATTGGGCTGATTTCATGGTTCTCGCCACTGGCAGGTCCACCTGGCACGTCAAGAACATCGCCCAAGCCCTAATTTACAAGGCACCTCACCTTCCTTCTTCCGTGCTTTTTCTCAAAAATAATTTCCATTGTTGATTTTTTAATTGAAACTCAAAAATAGTTTCCATTTCATTTTTTTTTTCCTGACTTATTTGTTTGTGTAATTAACCAGGCTAAACAGAAACAGAGAGGAGCTGACCGAATGATGTTACCGAGTGTGCAAGGGCAAGCTGGAGGAAAGTGGATCGTCATTGACTCTGGTATCTCATGCTTTTGTTATCGTTCTTTGTGTTCATATGCTTTCGTCTTGTTGAATTTAGAAAATACATTAGAGGTTGTTTGGACGTACAGGAGAGAAAAAGAAAAAAAGAGATAAGTTTCTCCATTAGTTAATTTAACTCATGTATAAGCTAATTTGTAAAAGCTCTATGGTATAACTTGTCTAAATTTTTATTTTTTAGCTTGTGGAGCTTAGACCATACAAATAAAACTTTTACAAATTAGCTTATGCATGAGTTAATATAACTTTAGAGAAGCTTACTTAATTTATTTTTCTTTCCTAGAAGTCATTTTGGAGAAATTTGTCAAATAGTAACGATTGTGGCTGGCATTAGATACAATGTCATTAGTTAGTGTCTTGATTGAGGTTGATGAATGTACTATTTTTTTAGGAATCGTATTGATATATGGGGGTATCCATAAGCTTTATAGATGATTAATATCTACCATGAACTAGTTGACTATCTTTAATGGGGTCTTTTTTTCAAGAGACGTTTATTCCATCCACATGATAAATGTTTTATGATGTTGTAAGTATTTAGACCACTATGCAGATAGTGGTTGAAGCTCACATCAAAGAGCTACTCATGCGGTTTACTTGGAGGCTCATATTCTTTCCTAGCTAATTAGTATGCTACCTGTGTGACTAGTTAGTTCGTTAGTACTAGAAAGTAGTTAGTAACTACTATTAACATGTTGATTCCACAACATTACTGGAGTGTAACATTGTGTAAGCACATGTTACTCTGTGATATTCATTAAATCAAATAAGACAGAGTTTATTCTCACATGGTATCAGCTTCCTCAGTCTGCAACCTCTGATTTTCTTTCTGCAGTCATTCTAATTTCTTCACTGTTGAATTGAGCCATCGAATTACTATTTTTGGGTGATGTGTCATATCATACACTTCGATCATGACACTTTTATCGAAGAATCAACTGAAATTTATCTGTTACATGGTTGCTTAACCCTTTTTATCCACCCCGGGAGGTGTTTCAATTTAACGATTCTTTCATGGATCACTTACATGTTAACTCCTTTCATAGTTTAGAGCATCAGGTAGCTTGACAAGGCTTTGGGGAAAAGAATCTCTTTGTTAGTTGTTAAGGTTTTAGTAGCTCTTTTCTCTCACTTTCTAGAGAGTAGTTTTCCTATCTATCTCTTATTTTTAATTAGATGATTTATGATATTCTAGGATAGTGAACACTGCCTTTTTTTTTTTTTTTGCTTTAAAATTTTCCAATTATTTTAATTTATAGTTCTAACAGGCTTTGTTTTTCCTTTTTGGCTCATTTTTGTTATTTTTAGGCAAAGTAATAGTTCACGCACTTGATGAAAAGGCTAGAGCGTACTACAATTTGGAGGGTCTTTGGACCCCGGGGACAATTCAAAATGCACCTGATGGGGTAAGTACGAGGCTAGCTTATATTGTTTTAATTTGTGAGAAAGTTGGATATAGTTTGAGTCTATATGTTTAATGTTATAGCTTATATTTACGTTGCCCTACCTATCATAATTTTTTACTGGTTAATAGAGTAAAATGACATTGCTTCGAAATAAAAGTCAATTTGAAAACCATTAATTGCGAATTCACCATTTCTTTTTTCTATGACTGTCACCTTAACTTCCATTCACTTGGATTTATGTTATGATGATATCCCCACGCCAAATCTTCCTGTGGATTAGGATTTGTGATTGGGGCCAATTCTTGGGCCGGTTTGTGTTAAGAGCAGTTCAAAATGGCACCATAAGTTATGCATGGTGGAGGTCTTAAAGCAGACATTTTCTTAGGGGGGCTAGCTTTTGAAGCATCTGATTCTTAGGCTTATATTATAGTGTATGACTTGGGTCAATCGCGCTTGAGCAATTACATATAAATATTTCTTTATTATTGATGAAGATGTATTCTTGAGATAAAAATTTTAGCATGACTAATTCGAATGATCTCCATTTTTCTTTTTACGGTTGTAGGATTTACAAAAGGCTTTGGTGAAGGTTCGTCGGAAAAACAATTCGAAGAAACCTGCACAAAAGAATACTTAATCGGTGTCTGACTCTGCATCTGATGTAAACAATTTAGAAGTTTGTAAACAGATCGTCGATATTCTGATCTGTTATTTTACTTGTTCTGATTACAAATTTTGGTAGGTTGTCCTGCTGCAATGTCAATGTTAGAAAAAGGAAAAACTGAAGTTTTCCTGTCATTCTGCACACGATTTTTTTTTTCGTAAGACAGAAAATTGAAATTTACTTTATATATATATATATATATATATATATATATATATATATATATATATATATATATATATATATATATATATATCATAATTGATATACGTGTTAAACATAAATCTTATTCTCATAGGTGACAAAAAATTCTTTTGAAGTTCGAAAATGGCCATAATTAGCAATGATGTTATAAATAGACAGAAAATACACATTGAAGAGAAAAAATGAATTATTTTCAAATTAAAGGGATGAAAAATGCAGTAAAGTATTTTTTGAGAATTAAATCAACTTTGAATATACATATCAACGTTAATGTTTTTTTTTTTTGCATTTTTTTATTATATTTTTTAGTTTCTATATTTATTTACTAAATATAGTAATACATATTTTTTTTTATAATTTTGTCAAATTTATTTTGGTTTCTATATTTTAAAAATTGATTAATTATTTTTAAATTTTAATAATATGTAAATTGAATTTAGTGAAATCTTAAATTTATATAAGGGAATGTCTAAAATAACATATTATGTTAATTCAATATATTTATCAATTTTATAGTAAGAAAAAATTATTATTAAATATTAAATTTAAATATAAAAATATTAAAATTGTATCTTTTTTAAAAACTAAAGAATTGAAAAATTCATCAATTTAAAAAAAATAAGAAGCAAATACAATTTAAAAAAAATGGATATATGCCACAAAATTATACTTTTCCTTTAAATGTAGAATAAATGTTTGGTGTGTCTTAATTATCATTTGTTATTAAATAATGTTGTTTTATTATGCATATAATGTTCAAAATATGATCAAAGAAACTAGCATAAGTGAAGTGTAAGTTTAAAAAGACCCAAAAATAAAATTTGTCTGATAAAATTCATTAAAGGATGTTGACGAGTGATATCACTTAGAATTTGGTGTGTATAATAAATGTGAATAAAATAAGCTTGTCTAATGCACAAAATTGGAAATTAATTTTATATTCCTTTATTTTACTCTAATGCAATAAATGATGTTGAAAGAAAATATAAAAATGTGGTATGCTCTAATTATACTTTATTTTACTCTAATGCAATAAATTAATCCACATTTTCATTCACTACATGGAAAGCGATGCTTCCAAGTGTACATGAAAACCTTCATTTACGTTCTTACCGTCAACACACGATATAGTCTCGAGCAACAAAAGGGCCAGCATGGTAATTGCACCCTCTCCTCCAACGCTCCCTCTGTTACCATCGCCCTCTTACTAGCAACATTCACACTCTGCGGAGCTCCCAAAGCAAGCAGTAATCAAACAACCACAGTCCAATTCTGTTTTAAAAACAGCAACACACTTTCTCTCTCTTGTTCACGCTTACTCTCTCTCTGGCTTCTTCTTCCACTTTCGCTTCCCGTTGCGTTTTCGGAACACTCATGGCTTCCATTACCGGATCCAACTGCGTCGCTCTCCGAACCGCCAACTTCGCCGCATCCGGTAACCGGAAAGTCGGTCAGATCCGGCAATGGTCTCCGGTTCTCAAGAATCTCCGTTCCGTTTCCGTTTCCGGTTTTCGTCACCAATCGAATGTGCCGTTTAGATCCTCCGGTGCCGATATCTTTTTTGCTGCTTTGCGTTTTGATTTTCAGTCGTTATTATGTGCGCGTGTTCAGTTTTGGTGATTATTTTATACGCGTAAGTGCAGGTTTGAGAGCGCAGGTTGCTACTCTGGAGGAAGCGGGAACTGGAGCAATTCAGAAAGTGGAAGCGCCAGTTGTAGTGGTGACCGGAGCTTCCAGAGGCATTGGCCGAGCGATTGCACTGTCGTTAGGTAAAGCAGGTTGCAAGGTTCGTCTTCGCCTATCGTTGAGCGTAATCTGATAGTGAACGATTCACAGTCGTAAATTAAATTAAAGCGAAATTAACGGTTGACGATTCTTGTGGTGAATTTGACGTTGTGTATGTATGTATCAATATATGTATCTCGTTCTCAAATTGTTGTTTTTGAATTTGCGACTTAAGTTGCTTTAGATTACGAGTGATGATATGCAGTTTAAGTTAGTTGAACTTGTTTACATTTAAAATTAAACACATAAGAAATATGCTTCTGGCGATAGTGACGCAATATTGAAGATCCATGTTTCGGATTTGCAGTTCTCTCGCTAAATCTGTTTTTGTTTTATCAGATTTTGATACAATGGATTATTCCGTGGAAATTTCTTTAAGAAATTGAAGTTGTCTATATTGCTGTAACCTGTCGTGATTTGCTTTTGGATCCTGATGTTTAGTAACTTGGGTTTTATATTACAGGTTCTGGTCAACTATGCAAGGTCATCCAAGGAAGCCGAGGAGGTTTCCAAGGAGGTAGAAATTTGCCTCCTGAAATTTGAGTGATTATATTTTGTGCGTACTTTGCTATTTATGTGATGTAGCTTTCGTGCAGATGTCGTATTGGGGCCATAATGTAGAGTTATTTACTAAGTCTGAACCTATGAGATTACTTTCATTCTTTTATTATACATTTCTTCATTGGCAATATACTTGAAATTCGGATATCCTATAATCTCAACATATTGAGTTGGTGCCGCCATGCTAGAGGCTTGGCTCTATTACACTTCGATGCTTGAAGTTTTCTTCTACCCAGGAGAAAGAGTGATTGCCGGACTTGCATTTATTTGTTTAATTAGGCATTACTTATACATTGTTTTACTGATTAATTTGTTTGACTATCTATCTCCTTGTAGATTGAGGCATTCGGTGGGCAAGCTCTTACATTTGGTGGAGATGTTTCTAACGAGGCTGATGTGGAGGCTATGATTAAAACTGTGAGCAGCTACTCTTGAATCATTACATTTACCTTATTCTACCTTGGCTGCTTCATAACTATTACATCTGCAGGCAGTTGATGCTTGGGGAACAGTTGATGTATTGATAAACAATGCTGGTAAGTTGGAAAGCTTTTGTGGTTGACCTAACCCCCTTCCCTCCCCCTCTCTATTTCTCCTGTCATTCTTAAATAAATATTATAATGCCTTTCAGGTATAACTAGAGATGGTTTATTAATGAGAATGAAGAAATCTCAATGGCAGGAGGTTATTGATCTAAATCTAACTGGTGTTTTTCTTTGCATACAGGTAAATATGTTTACAATCAGATTTTTTGAAATTCTTGTTTACTTTGAGAAATTATCTGTTTTATCATATAATTATAAACATTTAGCCTTTTTTTAAACCTTATTTTTATTTTCAAATATTTGTACATAAATATTTTTTTAAGCAAACCCTGTTTACTATGTTTTGTGTATAAATCTTTGGAAAAATAAGAAGCAAATTTAAAATAGGGAGCCGTTTCTGTAATGATTTTCTAAATAAATAAATTACTCAGGAAAGTGTTTTCTCAAAACAAAAAACCTAGTTTTCTTTTTTATTTTCAATTGAATCTGAGCTAGTTTATTGTTGCAGGCTGCTGCTAAGGTTATGATGAAGAAAAAGAAGGTGACATACCACTTAATTGTTCTTTTATGATTCTCTTGAGAAATCCTTGGTAAAAATGTTCAATTGACAACTCAAGTGGTCAATTAATTCAATGACTGGTTAGCCATTAATAATTGTAATATCATTAATCTGTAAAGTGATAAGTTATTCCTAAAGTTTTTACCAACTATTCCTTTTCGTAAATTTTAGTTTTCAATTTCATTCTATTACTATCTTATTTTATGATTTGCAACATATGATAGCTAGTGGTGACTAAGATCTCTACTTTCATGAAAATTATGTTTTTGCAGGGAAGGATAGTGAATATTGCATCAGTTGTTGGTTTGGTTGGTAATGTTGGACAAGCCAATTATAGTGCTGCAAAAGCAGGAGTGATTGGCCTGACAAAAACAGTTGCAAAGGAATATGCTAGCAGAAACATCACCGTAATTTTTATTAAAAACCTATGCATTTTCTTTCTAGCATCAAAGGTTTTTGCAATATCAGTTGACGGAATTAACCAAAACCTGGTTTCCTTTGCCAGGTTAATGCAGTTGCTCCGGGGTTTATTGCATCTGACATGACTGCCAAGTTAGGACAAGACATTGAGAAAAAGATATTGGAGACAATCCCATTAGGTGAACACTGGAAATACTTTAATGCAGATTTTAATTTGTTGAATATTTTTGATAACTTGCTATTTTCAACTTCGATTCAGGAAGATATGGCCAACCAGAGGAAGTTGCTGGACTGGTGGAATTCTTGGCTCTTAATCAAGCTTCCAGTTACATCACTGGCCAGGTCATTCATTTATTTATTCTCGTGAAAAGAAAAACTGAATTACCCGGTTAAGCTAGCTAGCTAACTACTTGTTCGAATCCATAAAATTCTAGGCATTATGACTTAGTTTGGCGACTAAAGCACTTGAGAATTAAAGAAGTCACAAATGAATCAATTTTTCTTACTAATTAAAATCAAGCTATGCGTTAGGGTTCTGTGACTAGTTGTTTGCATTATTCTTTTTTTTTTTTTTTGTTGAGGGGTTAACACTATTTATTTTCCACTTATCACCTAAAGCATTTATTTAGACTAGAATTGGTTGATGCAGGTTTTCACCATTGACGGAGGTATGGTGATGTAAACCAGCAATCTGTTTACTGGGCAACCTGGGCTTTTTTGCATTTCTCAACTTCTGCTGTACGGTGATAGTTGTTCTTTGCCTGAGTTTTGTTTACCTTTGTGACTTATATAGTAGAATCTTAGTTGAACAAAATGATTCAAGGTGTTCTGCATCTTGTACCGGTTCATGTTAGCAGAATAGGCATAATTCTGATAAGCAATTCAGTCGCTTTTGCCTTAAGCCATTTCTTTCATGGATGTTCGTTGTGGGAAACTATGCAATGTTTTACGGCTACCCACAATAAAGCGTTAAAAGTGCGAAGATATTTGCACGACGACTCATATGCAGGTGTTCACAATTGTACCTTTGATATTCTTAGACGGTCGATCATGAATGGCCTTGGAGGTAGGACGATTTCCAATTTCGTAGTTGACTCAATATTTAATACTTTAATGTTCGTTGCTGAACCTTTTTTGGCCCTAGGTTTCAATTTTCTTATTTGGAAAATTTTGACGATTCATCGTGCAAGGAAACAAAGTGATTCCAATAGCGTTGTCAAATTTGAAGCATTTTGAAAATCATACTCGACCAGTCATTTCAAATTTATTTGACTCCAAAAGTCGACTAATTTCATATATAGACTAAAATTTGGGTAGTTTTAAAGTCAATAAATTTCCACACATAAGTTTGATAAAATTCCAATCGCGAAAATTTTATTTTATTTGAACCAGTTCTATTCTTCTACATTTTTGTAAACTGTAGGTTATAAAATCAATGTATAACATTTTAACTGTAATTAGAATTCTTTTAACTTAAATGAATGAATCAATGTAATGTAAGCAAAATGTCATTAAAATTAAAATTATGTATCTTAATAATAAAAAATGAATCTGGTATGGAGAAAAAATTTAATTGAAAAATATTTTGGCTATATAAAAAAATCCAAATCCAAAATGAACTTTATATTATAAAAGAAAAAAATAAATAAATTACTAAACATAAAAAAATTAAAAATAATAAGCATTGCTAGTTAATATTAAACATTAGAAATGTAAGTTAACATACAAAATTGGGAATATTTTTTAATCAATTATTAATTAATTTTTAAAATATTTAGGAAATTACTATTAATAATCTTACCATAAATGACTATATATCTTGCCAAATGAGATGTGAAATATGATTGATGTATTTATCAATTAATGTACATACAAAAAATGACCATAATTTTCCCAAAGAGTAAACTATGATTAATTAAACCACTGGTCAGGCCGGTGTGGTTTCTAGATAGATTTTTACAGTTTCCATTCAAAAAATAACTTACATCATGCAGGTTACAAGCTATAGCTAATTTCAGTGGTTACCTTAACAAAACGCATCTTCAACATCATATGCCAACAATTGAAACGTTAATTTGGTCGGAACCCCCACAATAATCAAGCTCGACAAAAGTTCCCCCTCCTTCTCCTTTGGCTAGTCTTCCCGGATTGACAGCTATGCATTTGGTGTTGTTTATCCCTTCACTTTCACTGCTAAGCAACTGCACGGTGGAGAGTCAATTTCTAAACGTTCTATCATAAAATAGCACCTTCAAACTACTCTAGTTTGAGGAAAATGAAGCATATAAAAGGTGAAGACATTTTTTTACCTTGACAAAGTACTTGATGTCTGAAGGTAGGATAAGTATGTCTGGAACCAATGAAAGTTGAAGGGCTTCTGGAGCAAGCGAAAAGTCCATAGGAACAAATTCTGATGGTGGGTGAAGTGGATAGAAGCTGACTCAAAAATTGAAGGACATGGGTTGTTACTATATTTCCTGAACCCAACACCAAGTAAAATAAATCACAAGATAACAGTATTACCTTTGTTGGTTAAGAATATGGTTTGCAAGTCTACTCATGCGATCCATGGGTTTTCCATCAGCCGCAGTTCGCGATATCTCCTCCCCACTGATTTGCTTGAGAATATCCACGGTGCAGCAACCAACCTTAACCTGAAAGCTAATCCTTAATGAATTATTTCTAACTTGCTCCTTTACAGACACAACATCCAACTAAACCCTTGACTTAACTTTTTCCTCTTAAGTTTAAAAGAAAATCAGCAAGGGGCAACTAAAACCTACAAGAACTTTCCTTGAACATGGGTGTAAGAGTAACATGGACGGTTGGAACCAGAAGGCACTCGATGTTGAAGTTTCATACAAAGTATGCTTCTTGTGTGTGGATTCAAATAAATACAAAATCCAATAGAGAAAGCAACAAGGGTAAGTCGTAAACGAGATCACTAATATAATACCTCATTGGCCTCAAAGATTCCAGGATTAGTGAGACTGACTATCTGAATAAACAAAAATTATGTAAGCGTCATAGCCAAACCGTGGCAATGCTGAATGATATTCTGATAGTTAAAGGAATAGTTCTGAAGATTAATTCTTAAAACCTTTAAAATCATTAAACCAAATTGTTTTATTCAAAGTATCATACCTGAGATTTGAAGTCAGTTGAATTGATTTCCAATGCAGGCTACAAAAATAAATGATTGAAATTATATTTCGCATCTTATAAAACTAATACACTAACAAGAACAAAAATCTTGATATCCTAATTGATTCAATTGAGCATTACCTGAGGAAAAACAAAATCATGATTAGCATCCCGTATAGATGGAACAAGAAGAACACGTGTTCCAGAACCCACGCGTTCTACATAATCTTCCAACTGGAAATGTAAAGGGTGGCAGTAAGAAAAATGAAAAAAAAGAAGGAAAATTTTAGAAAAATATTCCTTCCTATATGTTATTACCTTCCTCAGGATTTCAAAATGAAATATTTCATCAAAACTCCTCTCTACCGTTCCTTTCTTAATATCTGGGTGTTCAGAGTCAACAAACGGTCCCAGCTGAGACAAAACCGACTTGTCAACATCACAAGTTTTAATGCTTACAGGATCTAGCACATATTGTCAAAGGCATAGTAAAATAATAATGATAAAACTGTGAAGATTGCAGTGCAGGTGGTATTTACCAATACAAGTAACTGCGGCTGTCTTCGTTTTGCATATTGCAGCAGTTCTGTAAGAGGCTCAAACAATAAATTGTCTGTTGTAGTAAAGGGGCCAGCTGAAATAATCTGTTAAGCACCACGAGCATGAGTAAAAGACAAAATATTAACAGAAATGCAAAATGTATAGAATTATACCAAAAGTATTAGAGAAAGAGCCTGCAATTTCTTTGAAAATCTGAAATATCTCAACTGTCATTTATAGGAATGGATACAAAACATTGCATGAATGCCTTTTGAGTTATGACCAAACCTTAGCTAGCTAACTAATATGTCAGGCAATTTTTTCATTGTTAAAATCGTAACAGCAAAATTTCAAAAATGTTCTGATAATTAATCTAAATGAAATCTACAGGACAATATAGTTTCCGGAACTCATACAGGATATGCATTATACAAACCATTGATAACTCTCTCTGTTTACAAAGCAGATCAGTAGACGGATTCTCCTTATCAATAGCTTGCTTCTTCGCCGGATTCAAATTCTCATCAGCAACAGACATTGGAATAGAATCCACCAATTTAGATGCAATGAAGCAGTGCCCACTAGGATTATGTCCTCCTATACCAACTACCTATCAAGATGAAGTGTTCGTTTTATAACTTGTAAATCTGATACTTTTGCATATATAAAACCATTAAGCCATCATATTTGCATTACTCACCTGACCAGGAAAAATTGAATAATGGTTTAAGTGTTGCAAGTCCAGGCGAACACATTCCCCTCCAGAATGTTCAATACTGCCAAGTTAATAAACATACCCATGTATGATAGATAAAATTGAAAAGACATAAATATAACAAATATATGATGTGTAATGACACCCTTAAACACAATCAATGCATTAAATGATTTAACCGAACCATCTCCCATTAATTCCCTAAATAAATAATGGATCACAAATTATTAAGAATTGTATCACATCACTCCTCCCATTGGCAAAAGCTCCACACAAGTGGAATAGAATGAATTTGTTCACGTGAATGTTTGTTCGGTGATTATTGAAAAAATCCAACACAGGCACACAAACACGTCAGCCTGCTACTCTTATGAGATAACAGATACATGTGAATACACGTGGAGACTATTACCTGCTCTGAAGCACGACGGACTTCTCATTTAAACGGCCTTCTCCATCAGAACAAATCATGCCAACAGCAAAAATGCCCCTCTGATAAATCATATAAATTCAAATTATTATAAAATTTACAATCATGCAAAGATCACTCAATGCAGTCACAGATCAGATTACCACAGTTGATGACCAAGTTAAAAATAAAACAGCATAACTATCTTGTTATCCAAGAGCTAATAATTAAATTTTGGTGCTTCAGAAAGTCTTTGTTTAGCTATGACAAAATCATAATTTTGCCTTCAAATTTTAGTATGTGCATGGGAGAGAAAGGGATATATTATATTTACCTGTGAAGCAGTTGTAGGGTCTGTTGGTTCTTCATAGAGCCCAGAAGCTACAAATGCCCTTGTATGTTTTCTAATTCGGTTTTCAATTGCATTAAGCTAAAAAACTATAATTAGATTCCAATAAACAAATGTAAAAGGATTACGATTTAAGTGGAAGTCACACTTAAGATCACATACCCTATCCTCTATTCTATCATACATGAATCTGCAACCTGGTTTGAGCCCTGATCCATGAATGACCAAGGAACACCTTTCACGATGTGGAACTCTTCTAACAACATCATCTTCATCATTCTCATTATCCTGATGATTAGGTTCTTGTTTCCCATTCTCTACACTAGGGACAGTGTTGATGCTAAATTTCACCGAAAATCTATCTGTTCGCTTTGAAAAGGGTGTTATAAGTTTTGATTTTGACGCTTTCCCAGAAGATAAAACATTCTCATACATCAAAGATGTTGTATCAGTGGAAGGAGAAAAAAGATCATGATGATGATTTATTGGAGTTCCAGGAGTATTGTCCTTTGTGTCATCATCATTATTTAAGAGCCTGCATAAACGGATTTCTGAGCTAACATCAAACAGTTCTGCCTGCCTTATCAACTATTGCATAACTATACAGGATACAGTGAAAAACAAACACCAATAGAACTAGAGAACTTGGTATATATCCCAATATGCATGTGCCTTTATATTAAAGAAGAAGGGGTAGACAAAAGAGCAAACACAATTTGAAAGGAAGTTGGTTGACAACAAAATGAATTTTGAAAAGATGCACTCACAAGATCATTATGAGATCTACAGGGAAGCATATTTAAACACCATATGTTTAGGAATAAGTTGGGAAGAACCAAAAGAACATTCAAAGAGAATCAATCATAGTTGTTAACTTGTCAAAAAAAAAGGGTCAACTTTCGTGATTATGCCTTAGAAAAATACATACAATAAATGGAAGGTATGTAAATGTGATCTTATGATTAGTTGAAAATTTTATACTGAACTTTTCCACAAACTTGTTTTTGAGACAATAGTATCAAACATAAATCACTTATCTTGAAATTCAAGAATAACCAAATTCAATTCTAAAAAGTCAAAAGTCACTCAAAACCAAGTGTGCAAGCACCCTCCCAGCCAAACATTAATGAAGGTAAATAATTATCTTTTTTCTATCCTATGCTCTTTTTTTTATTTATTTTATGCATAAGGCTTTGCTCTTGAGCTAGGAATTTCCTGTATATCAAATGGATTAAAAAACAAAATTGCCCCTAATTCAATTGTTAAGATACAAAAGACATATCAATATTGTTCCGATATGTTTATTAGTCTTACATCGCTTAGAAATCAAGACTAAGAATATTTTATATACACCCTTCTCTCTTAACCCACAAAACGTCTTTTAAGAACAAAACTGTGACGGATTAGAACATTTTATAAGGACAAAATCATGATGGACTAGAGTTCCAAAGTAGACAATATCTTGAACATGAGAATTCATCCTAATAATACTATCATAAAGAACATAAAACCGGAATACTTTCATTTCTAAATGGAACAAAAAGTAATTCAAGCACAAAGCATCAAACCATGGACATAAATACAAAATAATGTACTCACATTTCTACATCTCCGATAGAGTACATATGCAAGCCAGCTTCCTCCTTTTCCTTTATAACGTCCTCTTTCTTCTGATTTTGTAGATGCAATAGAAAGCCATCAATTTCAGCACTTTCTACTATTGGTTCATTCAGCTGTCTGTCAAAAACAACTGATTAAATTCAAACTGTACACTATCCAGCAAAACAAAACACCTATCTCCAAGACCACCGAATCATCATATAAACACTTCTAATTATTAAAACAGAGAGAAGCACAAATAGGAAAAAAAAAAAAAAGGTTAGAGCACATGACGGAGCACAGTACTTTGAACCAAAACAACATTTCCTCCAACAAAGAGAAATCAGCTAACTCCGATGTACTCTATTTCCAATTTAAACTCTTCTATTTTTTAAAAGAGGAACAGAAGTGTTTCCTGCAATACAATTTTCTTCCAAACGATAATTTCATATTAAACAACGACGCATTATAGTTTTCGGAGACGCGTTAGGAACGCAACGCCGATCACAGAGTACAAATCCTTCTAGACTAAAGAATTCACAAACTGCGAGAGAATACACTTGGTGAAAATACTAAACGAAAACAGAAGAAGAAGACGCAAACCTGTTGAGGTAATGAACTTCCCAGCTTGAGACGAGATCGGAAGGAGTGAGACTGTAGTTGATGCAGAAAGTAACACCTACACGTTCTCAAAAAATTAACAGATAAACTGTTGTACTTGAATCGAAGAAAAACTGAAGAATAACTTACATTTGCTGATAATTTCTTGTTCGTCTTCGATGTCGAAACCGCTTCTTTTGAATTCGGATTTGATTTCCTCTTCCATTGCTCTCTCTAGGGTTTCTCTCACTTGAGGTGCAAAAGAGAAATGGCGGGAACTCTGCTGGTTTAGTATATAAAGAACACTGGCTTTATTTTTTTCCGATTATGCCCTTTCTACCGCGCATATTAACGGACGCACACGCTGGCTCGTCACCGTTTATAAGAAGGTTCGCAAGAGAATTAAGATTTGTTTGTTTATTATTTTTAAAAATAGTTTTTAATTTTTTAATTTTTAAAAATTAAAAAAATATTTAATACCTGTATTATTAAAATAGTTTTTGAATTTTTATTTTTATTTCATTTTTAAAAATTTAAAAAATCAAAATTGATAAATAATATTCTTTATTATAGCGTTTATTTTTACGTATTATCTAATAATCATATTGAGTCTTCATCGTTATTTTTTTATTTCATATATATATATATATATATATATATATATATTATATTCTTTTGTTTTAAATATTTTTAAAAAATAGTTATTAATAATTTTTTTAATTTGACTTATTTAAAATTAGTCTCAACAAATATTTTTTAAAATTAAAACATAAAACTAAAGCGACCTCTTACTATTTGATTGAAAGTTTTTTATTAAACAAATAATAAACATCAATCTTTATTTAACAAAATCAACCATTTATCATATACCCTCGTCTAATAAATAAACACACAAAAACTATTTGATTCATCATCCAAAAGTCACGAAATAATTATTTATTACTATCACATTTAAACATCCAAAAATTTAATTATTTGTTACTTAATTAATCAATTATTTTAAATCACAAATTCATAGAAGCAATACTACACTTTTTTTTTCAAAATAGCTCCTTTATTAATTTCAGAAGTGGTATTATTATTAATTCCAATGTAAAGTGTATTGATTTATTACATAGAAATAAGAAAATAGAGAAAAAAAAAAACAAAGACAACAATAATTCCTCAACAATTATATATTTTTATGAATATATATATATATATATATATATATAGAGAGAGAGAGAGAGAGAGAGAGAGAGAGAGAAAAAAAACAGAATTAATTAACATTTTTATTTGACTATTTATTAGCATTCGTCATCAAGTAAAAAACTATACATCAACAATATCAATATACTCTTTAAGACTTTTGGAATTTTTAAATTTCAAAACTTTTGTCAAAATATTATCAAGTTGTATCTCAGACATGTAATGCTCAATCTCCAATTTTTCATTTGAAACTTGTTCATAAATGAAGTAAAATCTACTCTCAATGTGTTTGATTCTACTATGAGAAGTTAGATGTTTGACAAGATCTATTGCAGATTTATTATCAATCAGCAACTTCAATTCACATGCTTGCTTTACCTTCAATTCCATCATCAGTGAACTCAACCAAATTACTTGATAAGTTGCTTCAGAGGCAGTTATATACTCTACCACTGGTGCTTTGTAGAGCTCCAAGAAATTGGTGTCTCTCCAAGGAAGAACATGTACACAGTTGTGCTCTTTCTATCACTTTTGCCACCATACCAATCAGCATCAAAATACCCCATCAACTCATCATCCCCTTTTGACAGTAAAATTCCTAGATTTTCAGTTTCATGTAAGTATCTAAGTATGCACTTCATAACAAAAAGGTGTGATACTTTTGGTTCTTGCATATATCTACCCACCAACCCAACATTGAAATTCAAATCTAGTTTAGTGTTGCTCAGATACCTCAGGCTTCCAACAATGTTTCAGTACTTGTAGGATCAACCCCTTTTTCATCAGGATTTTTCTCAAGCTTCAATTTTACTTCTTTAGGTGTATTGGCATGATTATTTTGCTGCATTCCAAATTTCTTCAGCATATCACAAATATACTTTGTCTTATGCATTGTCATCCCATATGGAGTTTGATTGAATTCAATACCCCAGAAATAACTCAGATTTCTCAAGTCACTCATCTCAAACTCCTTTAGAAGTTTATTCTTGCAGCAAGATATCAATTTTATTATTGTCAGTGATCAAAAGATCATCAATATACAAGCATATGATGATTTTTTTTCAACTCTATTTTTGTTCTCACATACTTTTACATAGACTCCATGTTCGGACATAAACTTAACAAAGCCAATTTTGTCAAGAAAACCATTAATCCGTTTTCTATGCTCTCGGTGCTCACTCAAGCCCATATAAGGCCTTTCTCGGCCTATACACGTATGTTCTCACTCTTATGCCCAAACCCCTTAGGCTGATACACATAAACCTCTTCTTTAAGAGGGTCATTCAGAAAAGTTGATTTAACATCTAATTGGTATAAGGACCAGTTAACATTCGTGGTAATAGCAACCACCAATCTAATGGTTTCGATCCTAACAATAGACGCATAGACTTCACCATAGTCTATTCCAGCTCTATGCAAGAAGTCTTTGGCTACAAACCTTGCTTTGTATATTATAATCTCACCCTTTGGATTTACTTTAATCTTATAAACTCACTTGAATGTGATTGGCTTTTGTCTGGTGGCAACTTAACAAGCTCCCAAGTTTGATTCCTTTCAATTGAATTAATCTTCTCCTACATAACTTTCCACCAATGAACCTCTCTGGCTGCATTTTCGAACATGATTGACTCAGACTTTGCAATGAGTGCAAAATGCACTAAATTTCCCTCTACTGACATAGTTGAGTTACTAAACACTTCATAATCACGAAGATGAGATCTACTTACATAGCTAAGTTACTAAATACTTCATAATCACGAAGATGAGATGAGAGTTATGTAACTCTAGATGATCTTCTCGCACCATGATCAACATGTTTATTCTGTTCCACTGGATTCTTATCTTCAAATAATACTTTAGAAGCACTTGAATTCTCTTTTGTGGCTGTCCATGTCCAGCTAGTTGACTCATCAACAAAGACATCCCTACTAAATGACACCTATTTTGAGATGGGGTCAAACAATTTGTATCGACATATCACATGATAACCAACTAGAATTTGTGGTGTGTGCTTTTATTATCAAGTTTCTTTCTCAATTGCTCAAGCACATGCTTATAACACACTGACCCAAACTTTCTAAGGTGTGATAAGCTTGACACCTGTCCAAGCCTCTTCAGGTGTCATCATCTCCAAAACACTTGGTGGGAGACCTGTTCAACACATGTGCAATTGTGACAATTGCTTCTCCCCAAAAAAATTGGCAAAGACTTATTTTTCAACATGCAACGGATCATATTTAGCAAAGTTTGGTTTCTATGCTCAGTAGTATTGTTGTGTTGAGGAGTTTACGATGGAGTAAACTCATGGAGGATGCTTTCTTTCTCATAAAAGGTGTCAAATTTGGTTGAGGCATATTCACCTCTATCATTAGACCACAACTCCTTTATCTTGCTTCCACTTTTGTTTTTCAATCATTTTTTTTAATTTTTCAAACACAAACAACACTTCATTTCTCCTTCTCAACAACTAAACTCACATTTTCTTTGTGAGATCATTTACAAAAGTAACAATTTACCTATTTTCACAAGGTGTTTCAACCTGCAATGCCCCACAAACATCAGAGTACATCATACCAAGCTTCTTAGTTGCTTTGTCAGCCACAAATTTCTTGAACTTTGGTTTGACCTGCTTGCATTAAATGCATTCTCTACAAACTTCCTCTGGAATCACAATTGAGGGGAGTCCAATAACCAGTTTCTTGTGACTAAGCTTGTGCAAATGTTGAAAATTCAGATGATCGAACCTATTATATCATAAACACTCACTCCTATTATCTGCAGCGGCAAAACATTCATGTCTTCATGTATTCATACCAACACGAAAGGTTATATTTTCAAAAAAAATTGCACAAACCACCAATTTATGATTTTTGTTATATACACTCAAATCATTCTTCTTTATTTCCACGACAAATCCTTTCTGTAAAAGTTGTCTGAGACTCATCAAGTTTGTCTTCAATCTTGGTACATGCAACACATCATCAATAATGATTTTCCTAACATTATGATCCAACAACACTACATGTCTAACCCCTTCTACATTAAGACTATTGTTGTCAGCAAATCTGATTTTGCCTTAAGACGCATCATTAATATTAATGAACTAATATCTCCTCCCAATCATATGTGTGGAGTACCCCGAATCAAGGTACCAAGAAAAGGTTTCTTCTGAATTTATATCACTGGTTTTGACCATAAGCATCACCATATCAGAATCTGAATAAGCTTCATCTTGAGCTAAATTAGCTTGATTCTTTGGCTTGGGACACTTTGACCATCCCAGCATTCACATGCAAAGTGGTCATACTTCTAAAAGTTGTAACACTTCACCTTCATTTTGTCAAACTTCCATTCTTTATCATCATTAGGGTGTTATGCTACTTGTGATTTTTATTATCCTTGAAAATATCACATGTTTTCTCATTTTGTTTTTTTCTTGTTGAATTTTTTTCTTTCCTTTTGAGGTGCTATCTTTTTCCCTTTGGACTTTCTAATTTGAAGAGTCTACTATTGATTATACTTCTTCTCATTAATCCTAAACTCATATGCTTCAAGAGAATGTCGCAAAAATTCTACCTCAATCTCCTCTAAGTATTTTGTTTCTTCAATTATCATTACAACATGGTCAAATTTCTATGGTAATGTTCTCAAAATCTTATCAAAAACCTGATGACTAGTGATTGTGTCTTTGCAGACCTTCATTGCATTCACATGTTCTTGAACTTTATCAAAATAATCTGCAATAGTTTCATTTTTATCCATGCTGAGAAACTCAAACTACCTCCATAAGGTTTGCATCTTGACCTTCTTGTTCTTGTCTTCATCTCCATAAGTCTTCAGCAAAATATCCCAACACTCTTTCACAGTTGCAGCTTTGGAAATTTTGTTAAAGATATTTGGTCCAACACATTGGTAAATGAGAAATTTGGTCTCACTGTCTAGTCTAGCTTTTGAAGATTCTTGAAGTATTTTTTGGCTTCTTTTGTAGCATTGTCTCCAAGGTCTTCAAGCTCACTCAACACCACATCCGCTACATCT